TCCGGATAAATACAAGAATCCGTACAATTATTGGTTTAAGTTCAAGGTTCCAATATTTTGGGAGCGATTTAAAAATGAGACAAATCAGATGGACCATGAATGGAAACTAAAAAAATGGAATGGTGATTTTAGGATATTTTCAAATACGAAATTTAATGATCTATATTCAATAATTCGTAGTAATATTCCGGATAAACAAAAAAAAGAAAAAATTGATAGTTTTATGAATGAATTTGACTCAGAATTTAATAAATTTTTATTCGAATGTAAGAAAGAGATGAGAGACAATAAAAAAGAATCCGAATCTAAGAAAGAGATGAGAGAAGATAAAACAGAATCCGAATCTGAGGAAGAGATGACAGACAATAAAACAGAATCCGAATCTAAGAAAGAGATGATAGACGATAAAACAGAATCCGAATCTAAGAAAGAGATGATTGACAATAAAACAGAATCCGAATCTATGAAGGAGATGATAGAAAATAAAACAGAATTTGAATGTAAGAATGAGATGAGAGGCAATAAAACAGAATCCGAACCGAAAAAAGAGATGATAGACGATAAAACAGAATCCGAATATAGGAAAGAGCAGGGAACAAATGATATAAAAAATTATAAAAAAAAAATTTGGGAATTACTTATTGTTTTGATAATCTTAAGGAGAATATAAATTAATGGTTTAACAGAGAAAATAAGATTAGTTATGCACAAGATCTAGTTAAAAAAAAGAAAAATAAATATTTCGTCTAAATTTGTTTTATAGAAATATACTTTATTTTTTAAAAAAAAGAAATTAAAAGAGAAAAATTTTTTAGGAAGAAAAAATTTCATGAGAATATTTTTTAATTTTTAAGAATAAAATTTTCGTTAAGTGATATTAATGTAATTCAATTTCTTTTTTTACTATTTAAATGTTTTTATTATTTTTAAAAGCAGTGAACTTAAATTACTGAAAATTACTTATAAATAGCAATAATTATTTTGTACTTAAAAATTAATAATTAATGAGAGTATATGTTTTTAATAAAAAAACATAATTTTTATCAAAGTAAATCCACAATGAACCGCATTATTGCGGTTTATTTGTTTATATCATTAAAATTAGATTTAAAATTCATTTTATAATTAGAGAAAACTCCATATTCTCTTTAATAATTTGTTTTTCATTACTCTAGCAAATTCATTCAATGATAATTTAATAAATTAAAAATGTACATTATGGAATGTAAATAAATAAGGTAGTAAATGTAGAGGATAAAATAGAAGAAAAAAAGTTGGATGCAGAATTGTTACCAACTGATTTATTAACTGGGTATTCGGTGACTTTGATAGAGTACTGAACAAACAAATCAATAAAGAGCATGCAGAGTAGCCTCTACGATTTTGGTGTATTTATATATATTATTATATGCTTTGAACGAGTGATTCTTAATTATGTGCTCCAGTTTGTTCAGCATTCTTTAATTTCAATAGTCATTTATTTACATTAATAAAAATTCCTATTTTTATTAAAAATTTAAATCCTTATTGAATATTGATTATTATTTAATTGTAATTTATTTATTTCTTTGTCATGAGTTATGTTCAGCAATTTAAATATATTGCTATTGCATTAACAAACATAAACAATTATTAAAAATGCAAATTAATTATATGAATATTAATTACGTGAAAATTTTATTGTCATATGTATAAAATTTTCTCTTACAAATTAAAAATATAAATATTATGCAAATTAAACTCTTTTATATGTAAAAATTTTTATCTTTTTCGGATCTCATTTTTATTGATACTAAATCTTACTACCAATTTTTATTTTACCAATTTTCTCCCACCAATTAAATAATTTAAAAACAAAAATAGAATATATTTTTTTTACGTATCTTCATTTATTAAAAGAAAAAAATATAAAAAAAATTCAATAATTTCTTTTTTTTTTATTTTTCTTTATTTTTTTTTTTTTCCGCGTTTGCATAACCAACTGCATATTCTTTTATAGCTAGTCCTTTTTATTACCAAAAAGGTTAATGAAGCCTTTTATTAACCAAGTACTGAACAAGCAAATTAATAAAGAGTATGTAGAGTTGCCTCTACAATTTTGATGATTTTATATATATTCTTAAATGCTTTGAACTTGTGATCCTTAATTATGTGATCTATTTTATTCAGCATTATTTAATTTCAATAGGAATTTATTTACTTTAATAAAAATCTTTATTTTTATTAAAAATTTATATCCTTATTGATTGTTGATTATTAATTGAAGGTATATTACTTATTTCTTTGTTATGATTTATGTCCAGCAATTTAAAAATATTATTGTTGAATTAACAAACATAAACAATTAGAGACAATACAAAAACAATTATATATATATTAATTACATGAAAATTTTATTGTTATATAAATAAAATTTTCTCTTACAAAATTCATTAAAATCATATTTCATTCCCTCAAAAAAAAAATTTTTCTTTTTTTTTTTTTTTTTTTTATTTTTATTTATTGGTAACAATTCTTTTTCCAATTGCTTTTTTTTTTTTTTTATCAATTTTTTTTTTTCCTGACGGTCTTTGTATTTTTTTTTAAAAGAAATACAAAAAAANAAAAAAATTGATCATATCAATAAAGAGCATGCAGAGTAGCCTCTACGATTTTGGTGTATTTATATATATTATTATATGCTTTGAACGAGTGATTCTTAATTATGTGCTCCAGTTTGTTCAGCATTCTTTAATTTCAATAGTCATTTATTTACATTAATAAAAATTCCTATTTTTATTAAAAATTTAAATCCTTATTGAATATTGATTATTATTTAATTGTAATTTATTTATTTCTTTGTCATGAGTTATGTTCAGCAATTTAAATATATTGCTATTGAATTAACAAACATAAACAATTATTAAAAATGCAAATTAATTATATGAATATTAATTACGTGAAAATTTTATTGTCATATGTATAAAATTTTCTCTTACAAATTAAAAATATAAATATTATGCAAATTAAACTCTTTTATATGTAAAAATTTTTATCTTTTTCGGATCTCATTTTTATTGATACTAAATCTTACTACCAATTTTTATTTTACCATATTTCTCCCACCAATTAAATAATTTAAAAACAAAAATAGAATATATTTTTTTTACGTATCTTCTTTTATTAGAAGAAAAAAATATAAAAAAAATTCAATAATTTCTTTTTTTTTTATTTTTCTTTATTTTTTTTTTTTTTCCGCGTTTGCATAACCAACTGCATATTCTTTTATAGCTAGTCCTTTTTATTACCAAAAAGGTTAATGAAGCCTTTTATTAACCAAGTACTGAACAAACAAATTAATAAAGAGTATGTAGAGTTTCCTCTACAATTTTGATGTATTTATATATATTTTTAAATGCTTTGAACGAGTGATCCTTAATTATGTGATCTATTCCATTCAGCATTCTTTAATTTCAATAGAAATTTATTTACTTTAATAAAAATCTTTATTTTTATTAAAAATTTATATCCTTATTGATTATTGATTATTAATTAAAGGTATATTACTTATTTCTTTGTTATGATTTATGTCCAGCAATTTAAAAATAATATTGTTGAATTAACAAACATAAACAATTATAGACAATACAAAAATAATTATATATATGTTAATTACATGAAAATTTTATTGTTATATAAATAAAATTTTCTCTTACAAAATTCATTAAAATCATATTTCATTCCCTCAAAAAAAAAATCTTTCTTTTTTTTTTTTTTTTTTTTTATTTTTATTTATTGGTAACAGATCTTTTTCGAATTGTTTTTTTTTTTTTTTTTATCAAATTTTTTTTTTCTGACGGTCTTTGTATTTTTTTTTTAAAAAAAATACAAACAAAAAAAATTGATCATATTTTTTTTTTTTTTGTGTGCATGACCAACTTCGTATTCTACATTTAACTAGTCCTTTTATTTTCCAGAGAGGTTAATAAAGGCTTTTATTAACCAATAACTCCGTGAGGTGTATTAATAAATATCAATAATGCATTTTTTATCATTTCACCAACAGGTATATCTTTTACTACATACATGGTCTTAAGTATATAATTAAGACTATTACGAAATCATTCATTAATACCATTCCTTTCAGGATAATGAGTATTTCCATGATACAATTTTATTTGTAATTATCCTGTAACCTATTTCTGAAGTTTTTAATTCATTTAAATAGAACCACGATTTTTAATAATACTACTTTTAAATCCAAATATAGGAATTTAGATGTTTGTAATAATAGAAATTGTATCACTTGTAGTGCATTACTTTCTAATAACACTATTTAACATAAACAGTGAATAGTGATTTATAGCCATCTGAATATAGTAGTTTTCTTCTTTCCACCTTTTGAATCCAATGATATCTAATGAGACCATATAAAATATATTATATTTTAATAATTACTGGTGATTAGGTTTAAACGTTCTATTATACATTACCTGATAAACTAAACAATTCGTAGTACATTCCTCAATATATGTTTAACAAAAGTCTCTATTAACCTTTTTGGAAAATAAAAGGACTAGTTAAATGAAGAATACGAAGTTGGTCATGCACACATAAACAAAAAAAAAAAAAATTGATGATTTTTTTTTGTTTGTACTTTCTTTAAAAAAAAGTACAAAGACTGTCAGAAAAAATTTTGATATAAAAAAAAAATGCAATGATCTTCAGGAAAAAAAATTGATTAAAAAAATCAATTTTTAAAATATTTGTTAAAAATAAATAAATAAAAAAAAAAAAAAAAAAAGAAAGAATTTTTTTTTAGAAGGAGGGAAATGGAATAATTTCTTTTATGAATTTTGTAAGAGAAAATTTTATACATATAACAATGAAATTTTCATGTAATTAATATTTGTATAATTTTTGATATTTGTACATAATTCTTTATGTTTGTTAATTCAACAGCAATATATATTAATTGCTGAATGTAACTCATAATAAATAAACTAATAATTTACAATTAATTAATAATTAATGTTCAATAAGGATTTAAATTTTTAATAAAAATAAGGATTTTTATTAAAGTAAAATAAAAAGAAATTCATCATCATTTTTTTTTTTTTTGTGTGTGCCTGGCCAACTGCGTATTCTTCATATATCTAGTCGTTCTTATTACCAAAAGGGTTAATGATGCCTTTTATTAACCATACTCTACCACCAAGGGGAAGTAATGGTTATTACTTAATGTTTGTTATTTTTGGCTTGTTTTATTACATCAAGACCTATTTGTTGTCTTTTTTCAATTTGCTTATCCTGATTATCGTTAATGTTATATGTTATAATGCTATTCCTTTTATGAATATCTAGGTAATCATTAGACTTTAAATCATGCATCAGATTTAGTTTCCTTTTACTTATATTCGTAACTCGTACTAAATTCTCCAGTTAATTTTAATATATCTCCCTGGTTTTGTTACTTAATAATTTTATTTTTGACGTCGGAATTTGTACTTCTTTACTTCTATAGTTGGTTAATAAAAGGTTTCATTAAACTTTATGGTAATAAAAAGAACTACGTATATGAAGAATACGTAGTTGATTGTGCTAACGCGAAAAAAAAAAAAAAAAAAAAAAAAAAAATTTATTGGAATTTTTTTTGAGATATTTTTCTTTTGAAAAATGAAATATTTAAAGTAAAAAATATTTTTTAAAAAAAGTTTTTTGACAAATTTACTTTATTCTAAAAATATATTCCTGTAAATTTACTTTTTTACTAGTAATACTTATTAGTTTCAATTTTAATATTAATATTATTTACTGAATATAAAAATATATCTTTATTTAAATATAATAGATTTTTTCTTATAAAATTCATAAGAATGCATTTTCATTGGGATATAAAAAATATCAATAAATAAAGATAAAAGAGAATTATAAAATAACTTTTTGCATATATATTATTATAATCTTCTAATTAAATATAAAAAAAATATTTTTTTTTTTTTTTTTTTTTTACCTATACATATTTATTTGAAAAGTGTTGATTATTATTACGATGTGTTTATTTTCTTTCTTATTTTTAGTTATATATATTTATGGCACAATTTTTTATTTTTCATTTTACTTACGAAATTTAGGTAAATCATTTATATAGTATTAATGAATTCAACAATTATCCCTTCCAAATATAACTTTTTTCTTAAAAGGTTAAATTTTATAAGACATCTTTGTAAATATTAATGGAGAATTTTAATAAGAATTTTTATTTTTTTTAATTTAATTTGTTAGAATCTTGGACGTATTATTAATAAAAAGTGGTGTGTATAAATACTATCATTTTTAATATTTTAACACTAATTTTTCTCTAAGAAAAAATCATTAATTTAATAAAAGTGCATTTTTCATGATTTATATTTTTTTAATATTATATGTAGACGTTGTTCTTACAAGTAAAAATATGTAAAATATAAAAGTGTCTTACATTTAACATAGATATTACATGATATTAAAATAATTTGAATAGTGTATGTATTGGAGATATAGAAACTTAAATTATCCAAATAACAGTTCATGAAGTATTAAAATGATTATAATTATTATAAATAAGTTAATATTCTTAAGGAAAAGAAATTATTTATAGCTTTGATTTATTAATAGCTGTTAAAATACTTTTCTTGTGTCAACCAAATAAATTAATAAGGAAAATGTAGTGTAAACTCTACTTAATTTTAATATAAATTTTTTATTTTTATTAATAAACATTAAATATGACTTATTAGTTGAATAATTTTTTTTTAATATAAGCAACACTCTAAAATGTAATTTCCTTAACATTACACTTTATCTTAAAATAAAAATATACATTCTATAGTAGTCTGCACATTATCCTTAAAAAAAAAAAAAAAAAAAACTAATTTTTTTTCTTAAGATTATATTTTTCTTTTTATAATAAAAAAAATATCACCATAATATATATTTTTTTTTAAGTGCACTAACATTAAGTCCAAGTAAATATATACATATATTTTTTGCTTACATACTTTTTGAATATCTATTTTAGAGCAGACATTTACTATAGCTTATTGTCCTTGCGAATTAGCATGCAAAAAATAAAATGTTTTCATTCTATTTATTTGTGTAAATATTATACAAAGAAGGTCAATAGTATTGTTTATAGAGCAATGTATAAGTGGTTAATAAAAAGCTTCATTAACCTTTTTGGTTATAAAAAGGACTATGTATATGAGGAATACCTAGTTGGTTTTGCTAACTAAACAAAAAAAAGATATTTATTTTTTTTTTAAATGATATGTTCAGAGAGGAAAAGAGAAGATTGGTAAAATAAAAATCGAGAGTATAAATTAGTACCAATAAAAATGAGATTTTTAAAAGATAATAATGTTTTCATAAAAGAGTTTAATTTGTATAATATTTATATTTTGAATTTGTGAGAGAAAATTTTATACATATGACAATAAAATATTTGCGTAATTAATATTCAAATAATTAATTTGCATTTTTACTAATTGTTTATGTTGTTTAATTCAACAGCAATATATTAAAATTCCTGAACATAACTCACAACAAAGAAGTAAGTAATTCACATTTAATTAATAGTCGATATTTGATTTATTAACTGGGTGTTAGGTAACCTTACTCGAGTACTGAACAAACAAATTAATAAAGAGCATGTAGAGATGTCTCTACGATTTTGTTGTATTTATATATCTTTTTTATATGCTTTGAACGAGTAATTCTTAATCGTGTGCTCTACTTCGTTCAGCATTCTTAAATTCAATGGTAATTTCTTTACTTTAATAGAAATCCCTACTTTTATTAAAAATTTAAATCCTTATTAATTTTAGTTTTAAATCACATATATTTCACTTATAATGTTATGATTAATGTTTAACAATTCAAATTCACTTCTCGCGAATTAGCAAATATAAATAACAATACACAAAATAAGTTATACAATACTACAAACACGAAAATTTTATTATTGTTAATATAAAATTTTCTCTTTAAAATTCAAAAATAAAAATTTTCCACGAAAAAACTCTTTATCAAGTTTTCTTCTATTTTTTAATAGGTTGAATATTTTTTTCCCAATATTCATCTTTTTTCTTTCATTTATCTAGTATTTTAATGTCTATTTATATCCCATGCAGCTATTAATTTTTTTCTCAAAACGTCTAATAATTCCTTTTATTAACAAATCATTAACTCTAATAATTCTCAATAAAGACTTTTTTTTTTTTGTCCTTTTTTTGTCATGTAGGTAAGCTGGTAACAATTCTGCATCCAACTTTTTTTCTTCTATTTTATCCTCTACATTTACTACTTGATTTATTTACTTTCCATAAATTACATTTTTAATTTATTAAATTATCACTGAATGAATTTGCTAGAGTAATGAAAAACAAATTATTAAAAAGAATATGGAGTTTCCTCTAGTAATTAAATGGATTTCAAATCTAATATTAATGTTATAAACAAATAAACTGCAATAATGCGGTTCATTGTGAAATTACTTTGATAAAAATTATGTATTTTTATTAAAAACATATATTCTCATTAAATATTAATTTTTAAGTACAAAATATTTATTGCTTTTTATAAGTAATTTTCAGTAATTTAAGTTCACTGCTTTTAAAAATAATAAAAATACATAAATAATAAAAAAAAATTTTAATTATATTAATATCACTAAACGAAAATTTTATTCTTAAAAATTAAAAAATATTATCATGAAATTTTTTTTTTCTAAAAAATTTTTCTCTTTTAATTTTTTTTCTTTTAAAAAATAAAATATATTTCTATAAAAAAAATTTAGACAAAATATTAATTTTTCTTTTTTTTAACTATATCTTGTGCATGAATAATCCTATATTCTCTGTTAAACCATTAATTTATATTCTGCTTAAGATTATCAAAACAATATGTAATTTAAAAATTTTTAATTTACAATTATTTATTTCATTTGATTCCTGCTCTTTCCAAGATTCGGATTCTGCTTTATTGTCTATCATCTCTTTCATAGATTCAGATTCTGTTTTATTGTCTATCATCTCATTCCTACATTCAAATTCTGTTTTATTTTCTATCATCTTATTCCTACATTCAAATTCTGTTTTATTTTCTATCAACTCCTTCATATTTTGGGATTCTGTTTTATCGTCTATCAACTCTTTTTTCGATTCGGATTCTGCTTTATGATCTATCATCTTTCTCTTAGATTCGGATTCTGTTTTATTTTTTCTCATCTCCTTCTTATATTCAGATTCTGTTTTATTGTCTGTCATCTGATTTTTACATTCGCATAAAAATTTCTCAAATTCTGAGTTAACTTCTCTCATAATACTATCAATTTTTTTGTTTATTTCTTCATCTGGAATATTACGTCGATGATATATTGAGAACAGTTCTTTAACTTTCGTAGTTAAAATTTTATTCCAATAATCATTCCATTTTAGGCTTTTCGATTTAGGGTCCTTTTCACTTATTTCATTATTAAATCGTTCCAAAAATTGTGGAACTATGACCTCACACAAATAATTGCATGGATCATTGTATAGATCCGGTTCCTTACATTTGTTTTTTTTATTATCTAATGGACATTCTTGTAGACATCCTTCAGTGTTAGTTTTCTTTTTTTCTGCTATGTCACCCTCTGTTAATACTCTTTCATATTTCAACTCATTTTTTGTTTGCAATATATTTTTATCAACCAAAGTTTTATAGGAATCACACTATGAATTAAATAAAATTTTTTTAGAAGATTGTTTCTTTTGTTAGAATAGTAAATCAAATGAAATGTTAAAAATAATTAGAAATAAAATATATCTATATGTATATATTTTGTTAATATTTTAACTTACGTTATAAAAACATTGATATATCCAAATAAAAAGAAGGAATGTACTAATTTTTAAATATAAAGTTAACGTTTTCATATAAGTATATTTATAGAATAATAATGAAGTGGAAGTTGTTAATTTAGGTGCAAAATTGTTTCAATTTTCAATAATACTAAATTATGGATTTGTAATATTAATTTAGATATTATTATAACTTATATTAATTTCTCAAATTTTTAAAATAAAAAATTATTTTAATATATTAGATGTAATTTCTAATTTTTTATTATTACATACGATAGTATGGTTACTTTAGATAGGAATAATATTCTTAATTCTTCAAAAAAAAAATAAATTAAGAATGTTAATTTAGAAATATAGAAAAAATATAATAAATATGATAAAGTTACTTTAAAAATATTTTATTAAAATTTTATTTAACTTTAAATTATGTAAAAAAAATTAAATATTTTTAATTTAATTCACATAAAAATTATAAATGGTATACATTTAATGTTAAAGGATTTTTTTTATTTTTTTTTTCTAAATTACTAATCTCTGTGAATTATGTCGAACTTTAAATTATTTTATATATGGTATATTATGATTTATAAATATAAATCTTCGTATATTATAAAGATATATCTCCATCAAAAAAAGAAAAAAAAACTCTATAAATTAAAAATTTTTATACGCATGTATCTTTTATACAGTATGCTACATTTGTGACAATTTTTCACTTAATATAAAACTCATTTTCGCTTGTGTATATTTTTCTTTTAAATATAACTTTTTTGATTTTTCTTATATGCTTTTTTTTATCTTAATTCTTTTTTTTTTAATTTTATTATTGATAAATGTTTATACAATATATGTATATATTTATTTTTTGTTATAACTATTTTTTAAAAAAAATTACTTTTTCAATTATTTGAAAAAAAATAAAAAAAATTTGTTAAGTACTTAAATTCAAAAGAAAAAGTGAAGATAGGTAATTATTTTTAAGAAATTATAATAACAAATCTTATAAATCGCACATTTAAAAGTGAAATAAATTAATTACAATTTAAAAAAAAAAAAAAAAATACTATTTTTTTAATAACATATTTAAAGTAAAAAATATTTTTTAAAAAAAGTTTTTTGACAAATTTACTTTATTCTAAAAATATATTCCTGTAAATTTACTTTTTTACTAGTAATACTTATTACTAGCACTTATAGAATTTACATGCATATATATACGTTTATTTTTTTTACGTATTTTATATTTTATAAAAATATTATATTGATCCTTTATAATAAGAATTATACGTTATTAAGTACATTATATTATTTATATATAAACTATATTTTACTTCTTTAATTATATAAATTTACTATTCAAAAAAAAAATGCTGTAAAAATATTATATAATAATTAAANACTTTATTCTAAAAATATATTCCTGTAAATTTACTTTTTTACTAGTAATACTTATTAGTTTCAATTTTCATATAAATATTATTTACTGAATATAAAAATATATCTTTAATTAAATATAATAGATTTTTTCTTATAAAATTCAAAAGAATGCATTTTTATTGTGATATAAAAAATATCAATAAATAAAGATAAAAGAGAATTATAAAATAACTTTTTGCATATATATTATTATAATCTTCTAATTAAATATAAAAAAAATATTTTTTTTTTTTTTTTTTTTTTACCTATACATATTTATTTGAAAAGTGTTGATTATTATTACGATGTGTTTATTTTCTTTCTTATTTTTAGTTATATATATTTATGGCACAATTTTTTATTTTTCATTTTACTTACGAAATTTAGGTAAATCATTTATATAGTATTAATGAATTCAACAATTATCCCTTCCAAATATAACTTTTTTCTTAAAAGGTTAAATTTTATAAGACATCTTTGTAAATATTAATGGAGAATTTTAATAAGAATTTTTATTTTTTTAAATTTAATTTGTTAGAATCTTTGACGTATTATTAATAAAAAGTGGTGTGTATAAATACTATGATTTTTAATATTTTAATGCTAATTTTTCTCTAAGAAATAATCATAAATTTAATAAAAGTGCATTTTTTATGATTTATCTTTTTTTAATATTATATATAGAAGTTGTTCTTACAAGTAAAAATATTTATAATATAAAAGTGTCTACATTTAAAATAGATAATACATGATATTAAAATAATTTGAATAGTGTATGTATTGGAGATATAGAAACTTAAATTATCCAAATAACAGTTCATGAAGTATTAAAATGATTATAATTATTATAAATAAGTTAATATTCTTAAGGAAAAGAAATTATTTATAGCTTTGATTTATTAATAGCTGTTAAAATACTTTTCTTGTGTCAACCAAATAAATTAATAAGGAAAATGTAGTGTAAACTCTACTTAATTTTAATATAAATTTTTTATTTTTATTAATAAACATTAAATATGACTTATTAGTTGAATATTTTTTTTTTAATATAAGCAACACTCCTAAATGTAATTTCCTTAATATTACACTTTATCTTAAAATATAAATATACATTCTATAGTAGTCTGCACATTATCCTTAAAAAAAAAAAAAAAAAAAACTAATTTTTTTTCTTAAGATTATATTTTTCTTTTTATAATAAAAAAAATATCACCATAATATATATTTTTTTTTAAGTGCACTCACTTTAAGTGCAAGTAAATATATACATATAATTTTTGTTTACCTACTTTTTGAATAACTATTTTAGAGCAGACATTTATGATAACATATTGTCCTTGCGAATTAGCATGCACAAAATAAAATGTTTTTATTCTATTTATTTGTATAAATATTATACAAAGAAGATCAATAGTATTGTTTATAGAGCAATGTATAAGTGGTTAATAAAAAGCTTCATTAACCTTTTTGGTTATAAAAAGGACTAGCTATATGAAGAATACGTAGTTGGTTGTGCACTAGCGAAAAAAAAAAAAATTATTGAATTTTTTTTTTTATTTTTCTTTTAATAAATTGGAAATGCGTAAAAGAAATATATTTATTTTTTTCAAAAAAATTTAATGAAAAAAGGAAAATTGGTAAAATAAAAATCGGGAGTAAGATTTGTTACCAATGAAAATGAAAACTTAAAAGGATAAAAGATGTTTACATATAAATGAGCTTAATTTGCATAGCATTTACATTTTTAATATGTGAGAGAAAATTTTATACATATGAAAATAAAATTTCTAGGTAATTAATATTCATATAATTAATTTGTATTTTTACTAATTGTTTATATTTATTAGTTCGACAGCAATATATTAAATTGCTGGACATAACTCATAACAAAGAAATAAGTAATTTACATTTAATTAATAGTCAATATTCAATAAGGATTTAAATATTCAATAAAAATAGGGATTTTTATTAAATTAAATAAATGCCTATTTAAATCAAATAATGTGGAATGAAGTAGATTACCTAATTAAGGATTAATCGTTCAAAGAATATAAAAATATATATAAATAAAACAAAATAGCAGAGGTAACTCCACATGCTTATTATTAATTGGTTTTTTCAATACTCTAGAAAAGTCATCGAACCCCCAGTTAGTAAATCAAGCACTTGCATAACCAACTACGTATTTTCCGTATAGATAATTATTATTATCCTCAACAGGGTTAATAATTTCTTTTATTAACCGAATATCTAATGTATCGTGTACATTTATTCAATTTATTTTAATTATTTGCTTGGAATTTACACATCCCTATACTATTTTCATTGTTTTGTAACATATTAGAAGTTGATTCACTTTTTCTAATTTCATAAATATTATACTCTTGCTTATTGTTTCATATAATTCTTCATTTTTATCTATACTGTTAATTCTCTTTCTTTTTATTACAAGTTCTTCATTTTTATTTTTTTTAGACTATTTATTTACTTAAATAAAAATCCCTATATTTTTATTAAAAACATAAATCTTCATAAATAATTAGTTTTAAAGTACAAAACATTTCATTACTATTTCTAACGATTAGTGTTTATAAAATCAAGTCAATTCTTTAAAATAATAAAAATACATACATAAATTATTACTGGAAACAATGAAAATTTAATTTTCAAAAATAGAAAATTTTCTTTTATTGAAATATTAAAAAAAAATTTTAAGAATTTTTTCTATAAAATTCACATTTATCCAAATTCAAAACAATACTTAATAATTTATGTTAAGAAAAAAATATATTAAAGAACATCAACTATTTTTAATTTTTTATTTATTTTTTTTTAATTAGCTTTTGCGTATGTATAAATGTTTATTTTCTATATAGAAATTTAATGATCAAAAAAGCTAATAAAGCTTTTATTAATCATACATATAATTTCTATTGCTATAAATGTTTTTTTTACACTAGTACGATTATTTGATATACATTATTATAATAAGAATGAAATTAATATTATTTATTTTTATAGAAATAACTATGATAATACGTATATATAAATGATTATTTATATATTATTTAACCTTTGTGAATTGGTATATAATTGACTGCATTATCTAACTATTAATTTATTAATGTTACAATTGCCAAACAATAATTATATATAATATTTTTTACTTTATGAACATTACCTTGCCTATAATAATTACAAAAATTTCTACATTTAATGGATTATTATTTGGATAAATTTAATTTTTAAATATGCAATACATATATTATTTAAAAGATTTTAATACCATGAAGCAATATGTATAAATGTAAGATAATATAATATTTCAAGTATTTTTGGTTGGAAAAACTGCATTTATGTATTATATTAAAAAAAAAAAAATCATAATAACTCACATTTATTAAATATATTATTTTTTAAAGTATAATGAGCGTTAATATATTAAGAAGGTAATATTTATTCATATACATTTTTATTTATGTTATGTCAAATATTCTTACAAATTAAATTAAAAAAATAAAAGTTCTTAATAAAATTCTTTAATAATGCTTACAAAGATGTCTTATAGCACTTAAATATTTTAGAAGAATGTAAAATTTGAAAGGGAAAATTGTTGAACTCTTTTCTATTATATAAATTATTTGTTAATTTTTCATTCAGTGTTCTTTCTAGTATTGAACAAACAAATTAATAAAAAGCATGTAGAAAAAGCTCTATTCATTTATCTTTATCAGATTATTCACTTCAATTATTTATGTCATATATTAAATGCATGAATTAATTACTATTGTTGTTAGTTTACACTATATCTCATGTATGTCACATTTGATATTATATTCCTAATTTTTTATACAAAAAAAATAAAATAATAAAATATATAAATATTTTTTTCATATCTTGTTCCTTTTTAGAGCAAGTATTTTTTTTTTTAGATAACTTTTAGAGCAATTGTTTTTATTAAACGTATTTACTTTTAGTGATAATATTTTTTTTTTAAGATACATACTTTCTTTAAGCTTTTATGTATTCCTATTTTCCTTGCAATATGACATATACAATTAAAAACGTTTTCTTTATATTTATCTGAATATTATTTAAAATAGGTCGATAATATTATTTATAATCCAATAATTGAGTTACTTAGATTTTTTGAGAAAGATAAGGAAAAATAAAGGAATAGCAATAAAAATGTTTACAACTAAAATAAAACAAAATAAAAAATAAAATAAATACATTCTCATTATAATTATAAGATAACGATTATGTATAAAAAGACAAATAACTTTTTTTTTTACATTTAATTAGAAAATAATGATAATGCACATGCAAAAGGACATGTTATAATTCTCTTTTATATTTATTTATTGATACATTTTGTATCATAATGAAAATATATATCCTTGGATTTTCTACGAAAAAATTCATTATATTTAATTAAAGATATATCTTCATAGCTAATATAATATATAACATTTTTATTAAATTTAAAGTTTATACTTGTGATTATTAGTTACAAAAGAAGAAATTTTATAAATATATATTTTTACAATATGTTTCATATAAAAAATGATTTTCTTCACAGTTTTTAGAATAATTAAGAAAGTAAATTTGCCAAAAAATTAATATATTTTTTTTCAAAATATGTTTTTTACTGAATACATATGATTAAAAAAAATAGTTTTTTTTTTTTTTTTTTTAAATTATAATTAATTTAGAGTGCTTTTTTATATGATATATTATTATAATTTCCTTAAAATAGATATGTTTTCACTTTTTCTTTTGAATTTGTGCATTTCATAATTTTTTTTTATTTTGTGAAAAGTAATTGAAAAAGGAAATTTTTTTAAAAAATAATTATAGTGATGAAAAATAATTATGTATATATATATTATATAAACATGTACTAATAATAAAAAATAAAAAGAAAACATAAAGATAAAAAAAATATAATAGAAAAATCAAAATAGTTACATTTAAAGCAAAAACATGGATAATTAAAAATTAGTTTCATATATAATTAAAAATTACTATAAATATAGTATACTGTATGAAAAATACACGCATAGAAAAATTTTTAATTTATAGTGTTTTTTTTTTTTTTTTTTTTTTGATGGAGATATAATATCTTTAATATATCTAAAATTATACCTATAAATAATAAATACCATATATAAGATAATTTAAAGTATAACGTGATTCATGGAAAAAAAACAAATAGTTAAATAAAAAATAAAAAAAAATTCATTGACATTAAATATATAACCTTTATAATTTTAATATACTTCAAATTAACATTATATAATTTTTTTATCTACTTTAAGGATGAATATAATTTTAATGAAATATTTTTAAAATAACTTTACATATATAAAAATTTTTTTTTTTAACTTATAAATATACATTCTTATTTATTTTATTTTTTGAAAAATTAATAGTATTTTTCTTACATAAAGTAAATGTAATATTATGTATAATTATGAAAAATTAAGAATTACATTTCATATAAACAAATAATTTTTTACCTTAAAAACTTATAAAATTTACAAAGGTCACCATAATACCTAAAGCAATACTACAAATCTCTAACTTATCATTAGTGAAGATAGAAGCAATTTTGTACCTAGAATAATAACTCTAATTTAAATATTACACAATAAAAGTAATAAAATGAAAACCTTTACTTTATGTTTAAAAATTTTTACATTTCTTCTTTTAATTTGGATATTCCCTTTTTTTTACAAGGTAAGATAAAATTCATATAAAAAAAACACATATAAATATATTTTATTTCTAATCGTTTTAAAAATTTTACTTAATTTATTACTATAACAATTGGAAAAAAATTTTAAACAATTTTTATTTAATTCCATAGTATGATTCCAGTAAATCTTTGATTCATAACGATAACTTACAAACAAAAATTGGGTTAAAACACGAAAGAATGTTAGCAGGGGGAGATATATCAGAAAAAAAATCATCTTATATTGAAGAAGATATAGAAAATTATACATCTGGTGATATGGATACTAGACTTGATGAGCTGGTTTATTTAATGGACATGTATATTAAATGGTATAACACTAATATTAGAATAAAAGATGTAGATTAAGTTAAATTTAAAGAAGAAAATGAATTGATATATAAATGTAGTTATAAAATATTTAATGCTTATAGAAATAATATTGCACAAGAAATAGTATTACCAGAAGTATCACTGACTCATTAGTATCGTATTACAAATGGAAAAAGAAAAAAATTAATTGATAAAATTTCGAAAAATCTTCAATTATTTTATGAAAAATTTTTACGTCAATATAGATAACAAGAAAAAAATAAAATAAAAACAAGAAATAAAAAATTAAAAGCTAAAAAATTGGATATAAATAGACTTAGTTAACCTTTATTAAAATAAAAATTAATATATGAAAAGAAAATAACTAATAAATCATGCACAAGTGCTAGTTAAAAAAAATGAATATTTTGTTTTACGTTTTTTTATAAAATTATATTTTATTTTCTTTAAAGAAAAAAAATAAAATTATTAGAAAGAAAAAATTTTTAGGAAGAAATATTTTAATGAGAATATGTTATATTTTTGGGAGTAAAATTTTTGCTGTTAGTGATATTAATATAATTTAAATTTTTTTTCCTCTTTAAGAAAAATGAACTTGAATAAATGTAAATTATTCATTAAAAGTTATAATTGAATATTTTTTACTTAAAAATTAATGTTTAATGAAAATTTATGTTCTTACTAAAAACATAAGATTTTTATTAAAGTAAATAAATTCTCAATAAGCTACATAATTTATATTTTACAGGTTTATAGCATCGAAATTATATATGAATTATTTAAATTAATAGAGAAAGTTGTACATATTTTTTATTAATTTTTCTATTTATTACTTGATATATAATTTACTCGTTCAATGCCTTTAGTAATACTGAAAAAATGAAATAATAAAGAAAACATTGAGAAAATTTTACTTATTACATTTTTTATTAATTAATATATAACACAAATTATTCACTTTCATTAATTAATATAATATAATAATTGAGTTATTGGTTTATTAACTGGGTGTTCGGTGACTTTGCTAGGGAACTGAAAAAACAAATTAATAAAGAGCATGTAGAGTTTCCTCTACTATTTGAAGTATTTATATATATTTTTAAATGCTTTGAACGAGTGATCCTTAATTATGTGATCTACTTGATTCGGTATTCTTTAATTTCATTAGGCATTTATTTAATTTAATAAAAATCTTTATTTTTATTAAAAATTTAAATACTTATTTAACATTAATTATTAATTAATTATAATAACTAGTTTATTTATTATGAGTTATATTCAGCAATTATTTTATATTGCTGTTGAATTAACAAACATTAACAATTATTAACAAAAACAAAATAAATTATATAAGTATTAATTACATGAAAATTTTATTGTTATATGTATAAAATTTTCTCTTACAAAATTAATTAAATCCTACTTCGTTAAAAAAAAAGAATCTTTTTTTTTTTTTTTTTTTTTTCTTTCTGATTGATTTTTTTTTTATCAATTTTTTTTTTTGACGATCTTTGTACTTTTTTAAAAAAAAAAAAAGTATAAAAAAAAAAAATTGATCGTCATTTTTTTTTTTTTCGTGCGTGTATGACCAACTTCGTATTATTCATTTAACTAGCCCTTTTATTTTCCAAAAAGGTTAATAAAGCCTTTTATTAACCAATGTGTTTAAATACTTTCTTTTTTCTCTCATATTTAGCATGCACGAATAAAGATGTCTTTAATTATTTTATTTATTTAAATATCATTTAAAATAAATCTATAATATTATTTATAAATCATCTATTCAAATATAATATTATAAGCTTTCATTTTAATTGAAGCAAGAATAAATATAAAATATTTATTTATTAACTGTTCAAAGAATTTTGTAGCACTTTAAATAGTCATATTAATAGAGAGGATGAATGGAAATCTTTACATATTTTGTATATGAAAAAATATACTTAAATAATTATATATATTATTGTGTAATTATCTATTTATTATAAAAATAAACAGATTTACATATAGATCATTATATACTTCATATAAATCTATTTATTCATGGTAAAATTAACATACTTATTTTAATATCAGTGTTTAATAAAAATATAAATTTAAATTTTGAAGTGTAAAAATTAGAAATTGTATGTAAAATGTATAGTTAGCAATAAATTTATTAAATATTCAGTGCCTTTATTAGTATTGAAAAAAAAATTTAATAAATGGGATATATAAAAAGTTTCACTTATTTTGTTTTAATTAAAATAAAATATTAAACAAATTATATACATTTGTTAATATAAAATATTAATTATATTCGTAACTATTTTAGTTAATTTTCAAAAATATTTTAGATGTATAATATGTAGCATAACAATTTTAATATTTCAAAAAAGTGAAAAAAATATAATAAAATATATATGAATCTTTTTTCTTCTTAGTGTATTTATTTTTAGATCAAATATTTTTTTTTTTTTTAGTATACATATTTTTGCGTATTTATTATTTCATAATGTATGAATTTTTGCGTGAATATTTTCCCCTCATTTTAACATGAAAAAATAAAAATAACCTTATTTATTTATTTAAATATTCTTAAAAATATGTTTAACATATTATTTATATACCAATAATTAAAGATAGGCTTTACCTAAGGTATTAGTTCGTAAAAAGGATGACAGATTGGCAAGTACTATATATTATTTGTATTTAAATAGTTATGTATTGAATGATTTATATGTTTTACCTAATATGAAAGATATATTTCAGACATTTTATGGTGTTAAATGGTTTCCGAAGATAGACCTTAAAAAAGAACATTGGGACGTAAAACTAGATGAAAACAATAATTAACGTACAGAATTTATTGTACCCAAACATGAAAGATTTGTATTTAATATATTATCATTTTCATTCAAAGTTGGTCTTATAAATTACAAATAGTAATTAAATATATATTCATGTATTTAATTTAAGCTTATGCAAAAATCTTAAAGTACTAAAAAATGTACATGTATTACTTATTGATAACAATTTAAAAATAAATACGAAAAAATGTGATTTATTAATTGTTTGTTCGATGATCTTACTAGTATTAAATAAAGAAATTAATAAATAACATTAATTCTATAAATAATATTATCAAACTGTTTTAAATAATATTTAATAAAATAAAATGAGTAAAAACATTTTTTTTAGAGAATTATAAAATATGTGGAAAATATGAACATATAAATGTGTATACCAAAAAAAAAAATAAAATAAAAATATTTCTATAATATTTTTCTTCTGTACTTATAATTACATAAGAAAATATATTTTTTTTTTTTAATGATGATGACTTAGAAAAACATCATTAATATTTTTAAAAAAATATATGACATCTTAAAAAAATATATTTTTATATATTTTGAGGATAAAGATGCAGAGTATTTTGTTTTTTTTTAAAGAAAGATTAAAAATGTAATATAAAATGTAGTACACATGGGATGTTATATAAATTAATAACAATATTAATTAACATAATTAATGTTTTATATTAATTAATAAAAAATGAATAATTTAATTTATATCTTAATTCAAAAAAAATAAAAATATGTAAAATTATCTTTATATGATCTTTATTAATTTGTTTGTTAGATACTAGCAAAAACACTGAACGGTTAATTAATAAATAACTGACTTGAAAAAGAAATTTAAAAAAAAAAAATCTGTAATCTTAAGGATAATCATATATTTTTTTTGTTGATGATGTGAAGTATAATTTTTTATGTGTAAGAATTAAAAATATTATGTTAATATTATATTTTATAGCGTGTTGTGTAAATTAACCCAGTAACTATTGTTATTCATATTTGACAATTAGAAAAACTAAATAATTTGTATGATAATTTATTTTAACCTAAATAAAACAAGCATAGTTTTCTCTATATGTTTTTTATTAATTTTTTTTGCTCAATACTAGAAATATGATTACTAAAAGACTCCATTTAACTTTTTAATAATTTATAGAATGATATAACTTCATTTTGGAGCAATGTAGTTACATGCAGGATAATTAAAAAGTATATAAAAAGATATATATATGAGAACACTTATAATAATTTCTGCGTGTATAGAAATAAAATACAAAATGGATTATGTTTAAAAGGATACCTTCATAGATGTAGTAGAATTATATTTGCATAATATATGTTATATTAATAATTTACTCATAAAAAAAAACATTATATATGCATTTTTAATTTTAAAAAAAAAAGAATGTTTTATTTTTATTTATTTTTTTTTAGGAGATGATTAAATATGATAATTTTTATATTTTATATAAAAAAATACTAAGAACTATGCCAAATAGAGTGAATTTTATAATAAATATAATAAGATTATTATGAATTAATACTTGTATAATAGGTATATAATTATGTGCATAGGTCAATTTTATATTAAAAAGAATAAGTAGATATCATTTTACAAGCTCTATATTAATTTAACTATTTAAAGCACTATAAAAGTTATTATTTAACAAATTAATAATTCATAATACCACTGAAAAGAAAATAAAAAGTTATTACATTAAAAAAAAAAAAAAAACAAATATATTTCATTTATTTTTTTTTTATTATATCTATTTAAAATTATAAAAAAAAATATTTTATTTTTTTATTGGTTTTATATTCTGCAGATTTGGGAAATTTTAGCAAAAAAATAATGCTAATAATTTTATTTCTTAATAGAAAAAAATAGTATCATTTTAAAAAAAAAAATAATCATTTTTTTTTTTTTTTTTTGGTGATGCAATGGATATTATTCTTTTTTGTATGAAAAATTAAATAACATAATATTAAACATTACATTTGTATTGTATAAATTAGCTTAAACAAATAAATAATTGAGTTAAAATTTAATATTAGTTAATAAAAATAAATGATTTATCTAATGATTTATTTTATTCTAAATAAAATAACTATAATTATCTTTAAACTTTCTTTATTTAATTCATTTGTTCATCGTAAGCAAATTGATTATACAAGCATTTAATAAATCAATATTCTAACAATATTATTGAATGATTAATTAATAAATCAATAACTAAGCATGTAGCGATGCCTAAGATTATTTCTTAAAAAATATTCAAAAAGAACAATAATTCTATTTATCACGTCTACAATTTTTTCTATTGTTTTACGAATTTTTCCAGTTTCTTCACGTTTGTTTTATCACCTATGCTATATAAATTTTGCTTTTTATTCGTTATCTTCATTCATTTAATAATAAATAACTGTTGTAAAACATTCTTTATTATTTTTTTCTATCCACCTCTTATGAATATCTTCACAGTGTTTTTTCCATATAATTTTTTGCCTTTCTAACATGGGATTTCTAATTCTGTCCTCATTCTTTTTTGCTATCATTTCTTCATATATATCTTTTATGTATTCCTTTTCCTTGTTTTTCATTTCCAATATTAACTCTATAAACCATTTCTTTTTTTTCCATTCTTCTATTTTCTCTTTATCATTATTTAATATAACATTCCTACTTTTTTTTTTTATTTCTAATATGTTAACATCCTCATTTAAATTTTCTTGTATTCTCAATTCTTCCACCATTTTTTTAAAAAAATATTCTTTTTCTTTTTGCAATTCTTCTTTCATACATTCTTCTAATAGCGTCATATGTATATCTATCAAAATGTTCTGTATCAATTTCTCTCTTTTTTTTCTATTTTTCTCTATTTCTTCATCTGCTTCTTGTTTCAATTCCTCTATATTTTCATGAATTTCCTTCTCTTCTTTTCTATCTTTTTTAGTTATTCCTTCCTCACGTTCTTCTTCTTTTTCGTATTCGTCCAATAAATTGTTAAACCAATCTTCCTCTCCATGTAGTATAAACCACTTTCTTTGTTTTTTTAGCCATTGTTTCCATATTCTTTTTTGTTTCTCTAGCATAGGATTTTTTCCTGCTTCTATTTCTGATATTTCTGATTCTTTTGTTAATTCATCATATTTTTCTTGTTCTTTTCCCCATTCTTTTTTCAAATTAATAAACCATTCTTCATTTTTCCATTTCTCTGACATTCTTTTGTTTCTTTCTACCCATTTATTCCATAAAAGTTTTTGTTTCTCAATCATTAATGTACTAATGTCTTCTTCTCCTTCTTTCATCATGGCTAATTCATTTTCTATTATTTTTGGATATTTTTCTTTATCTTCTTCTATAAATTCTTCTAAACAGGTTTCTAAAAATTTTCCTCTATTCAATAACCACTCCTCTTTTCTACATTCTTCTAATATTACC